AGTTCAGTTGCCTTTTAGTGTAGTTTTTATTTCCGTTGTTGTGGTCATTGGGAATATTTTTCTCCTAGTCCTGGTCTTATAAATCTTCCCATGTTTCCCTGAATTCCTCATACTTATCATTTTTTTCAGCCCAATAATACTCCACTGTAATACTCATAGTCCATAATTTCTTCATTCCCTGTTATTAGTTATATAAATTTCCTTATTTGTTTCCAGGGAGTGGGTTTGTTTTTGTTTTTGCTTTTTTTGGAAGGATGAATTTTTTTTAAGCACCTAATATGAGCCAGGCACTGTGCTAAGCACTTTTATTATCTCATTTGATCCTCACAACAACCCTGTGAGGTAGGTACATCCTTCCCATTTTACAATTGAGGAAACTGAGCAGATAGGTTAAGTGACTTGCCCAGGGTCACACAGCTAGTAAATGTCTGAGGCTGGATTGGAACTCAGGTCTTTCTGATTCCAGATTCAATGCTCTATCCATTTGCAACCTAGCTGCCTTTTTTGCTACCACAAAAAGTATTGCTATAAATATTTTGGTGCATATGAAACCTTTGACTTCCTTGCCTAATACTGAGATCTCTGGGTGGAAATATGTTTAATATGATTGTACATGTATAGTCTATATTAGATTGCTTGCTGTCTTAGGGAGAGGTGATAGAAGGGAAAGAGGGAGGGAGAAAAAAATTGGAACTCAAAAATCTTATAAAGGTGAATGTTGAAAACTATCTTTACATGTAATTGGAAAAAATAAAATACTATTAAGTGGAAAAATTTTTAAAAAGAAAGAGGCCAAATGACCCTCCTTTATTAAAATGCTGGCATTATTAATTAAATAATTAAATTACCCAGAAAAAAAAGAAAGACCTTTAGAACATCATGGTGGTACATAGAGTGTTGGGCTTGTAGTCAGGAAGACTTCAGTTCAAATCCTTTCTTAGAGGCTTACTGGCTATATTACCCTGGACAAATAACTTGACCTCTCTGGGCTTCAGTTTCTTTACCTGTAACAAGAGGATGTTAAATCTGACAGTCTCTAAGGTATATTCCAACTTTATATCTATTGAGCCTATAAACCCTAAGTTAACCTGGTCATCAGGTCTGTCAGTGGTTTAATGATGTGTTTGGAATAAGTGCTAGAGCTGGGGTCAGAGGACTTGAGTTTGAATCTTGGCTTTGCTACTCATTAGTGTTACTCACTGACCTTGGACCAGTCACTTCATCTCTGAGCCTCTTCTGTAAAGTCAGAGAGTTGGGCAACTGGTCTCTAATGTCCATCCAAGCTTTAAATCCCATAATCCTATGATAGCCCATCCCGCAAAAGCCATTAATCAGAATGAGATAATGGATGGGAAAGTACTTTATAACCTGAAAAATCCTACGTAAATATAAGGGATCATTCTGATAATGATGATTAATATACCTCTGCAGTTCTATAATCACATAAGCCATATCTTATTCTGTCACTGCAAAATGTTTCTAAGAGTGGATACCTGTTTCTAATCCGAAATCCACCAGTTATCATTGGTTGGATGCTCGCAGACAGACATGAAGCCTAGAAGGGAAACGAACCATCTGGTGAGAATGGACCATCTGCCATTTTTTCCTCCTCTCTCTCCTGCTTGGGAACGGGGCAGTCTACCAGAGTGTGGGCAGATGAGATGAGGTGCTGAAGGGCTCAAGTTTCCTGAATATTAAATCAATCTAACACCGAGGACTCCAGCAGAGGGTAGATGAAAAAAAGTTTCAGAAAGAGACTAACTTTTTTTGTTTTACAAAGTTGCAAACATCTCATAGAAAAGTAGTGTTATATAGGGATGTCATCTTCTGTTTTCTGGTCCCCAAGCAAAAAGTCACAAAAGGAAACTTGCTCAAACATCAGCTCAGTAATTTCTTCTGCCTCCATTGTCTTTCTGGCTAATGGCCCTGTAGACATGGAATGCCTGGGCCCACTATGGTATTGGATGTAAATTGTATGCTGTTAGATTTGTAAGTCATTGAGCAGAAGAACAGGCACACCTCCTAAGCTGAGAGCTTCTTTCCAGACTTTCCATCTCTGCCTGAAAAGGAACCACTTTTACCATTGCTATTTAAAGAGTAAGCTAGGTGGTGCAGAGGACTGTTGGACCTGGAGTCAGGAAGACTCATCTTCCCGAGTTCCAATCTGGTCTCAGACACTTACTAGCTGTGTGACCCTGGGCAAGTCACCTGACTATTTGCCTCAGTTTCCTCATCTGCAAAATGAGCTGGAGAAGGAAATGGCAAACCACTCCAGTATCTTTTCCAAGAAAACTCCAAATGGGGTCTTGAAGAATCGGATGTGACTGAAAGTGCCTGAACAACAACAAATGATAGTACTAATTATGGAGCTGAAACAGATAGCTCTGGGGCTGCTGCAGCGATGATACATCCATGTGTACTTTGTATTTCTTCTTTTGTTATAGGAAGCTGGAGACAACAATCAGTTCTGCTGGAGGAACCTATTCTCCTGTATCAATTTACTCAGGCTGCTTAACAAACTGACCAAGTGGAAGCATTCCAGGACCATGGTGAGCTGGGGTCAATTCCAGGACAGGAGAAGTCTGCCCCACTGAAGAGGTCTATTATACCAATGATGATAATGACAGCAATAATAAAGGGCAGAAGAATGAGATAATAACAATAACAAAAATAACAAGATAATAGCAGGATGTGTACTTGTCCTCAGACTCTATCTGTAAAGCCCATTTAAAAAAAAAAAACCAAGATAGTAGCCGTAACAATGACACCAAACAAAAACTGATGTTAACGTAGGACTTTAATATTTGTAAAGGGCATCTGTATCATTTCATATACCTGTGAAGCAGGTGCTGTTATTATCCTGAGGAAACTGAGGCAAAGCGACTTGCCCAGCATCAAAGAGCCAATAAGGGTCCAAGTCATAATGTGAACATAGGCCTCTCCTGACTCAAAGGCCATTGTGTTCTTCTCCCACGCTGCACTGCCTCTCCTCCTCCTTTTCCTCCTCCTCAATAAACATTAATTGCTTACTGGGCAACTAAGTGGTGTAGCAGATAGAGTGCTGGGCCTAGAGTCAGAAAGACTCATCTTCCTGAGTTCAAATCTAGCCTCAGACACTTACTAGCTGTGTGAGCCTGGGCAAGTCACTTGACTCTGTTTGCCTCAGTTTCTTCATCTGTAAAATGAGCTGGAGAAGGAAGTGGCAAACCACTCCAGTATCTTTGTCAAGAAAACCTCAGATGGGGTCATGAAGAGTCTGACACAACTGAAAACGACTAAATAACTGAAAAAGAAAATGAAGGGGTTGGACAAGATGACCCCTAAGGTCCCTCCCAGCTCTGATTCTCATTTCTTGATGGCACAGTACACACAGTGGGAGAAATGCTGGATTTGGACTCAGAGGATCTGGGTTTGAATCCTGGCTCTGTTGCTCCCCACCTGGGTGACCTTGTACAGTTTATGTTACTGCTCTGGATCCTACCCTGTAAAATCAGGAAACTGTATTAGGTCACCTCAAAGGTCTCTCTCAGCTCTAAATCTATAATCCCATGAACCTTCTCCTGTCCAAGTAGATGTCCAGAGGGTCAGGAAGTGCTGACCTTTCCTCAGATAGTCTCTTGGTAGGAAAGTTTGCTCTTCCAGTTTAAAGGACACACTGGATATTGTTGCTGTGAGGACAGAGAAGGAGGTGCTGTTGGGGGATATTCCTATGCTATGAACAAACAAAAAGCTGGAAAGATGGCGATATCATTGAATGTCTTCTGACTGTTCCATTATCCTCAGCTACTACATCACTGTGCTGGTATTAATTGTGGGTTGGCCTGCTGAAAATTTCATGAGTAAAAATTCTGGTGGGCTGATGGGTTCAAAAAGATTCATTGTATCACAACCTGTTCCAGAGAACATGGAATTTAGCACTATGGTGGCCTTTCTTGGATTGCTGCCCAAGGTAATTTAGATGCAAATGTGCCAGAAATGGTCCCTCCTTATTAACCCCTGGGGTATATCCTAACATTGAAAGCTGAGCCAGTAGGACTAACTATCAGAAGAATATTAATTATTATTCTGTTAATTCAATGAATATTTATTAGAAATCCACTCTGTGTAAAGAGGGATGCTAGGATTCAGTTCTCCTGGGATCATAAAATCGTTCGGAGTTGGAAGGAATCTTAAAGGTCATGTAGTCTGTCTCTCTCATTTTTCTAGGTGAGAAAACTGAAGCTCAGAGAAATGATGTGATCGGCCCAATGTCACACAGGTCCTAATTAAAAACTAAAGCTATGGCTTTATGTTAAGAGGACCCGTGTTATATGTCTTTGTGTTGTTTGCATTTAACACTGATGTTACCACCATTTTACAGACAAGAAAATCACTTGTCAGAGATTTACTCATGATCATATAGGCTAGTAAATGTTAGAGCTAATAGTAAATAATAATATTAGTAATTATTACAATGATAGCTGAAATTATGTAATGCCTTAAGATTTGCAAAGGCTGTTGCATAGCCTATCTTGTTTTATAGAATGTTAAGTTCCTCATGGCAAGAGACTTTTATTTGTGTCCTTGTATCCCTAATATCCAGCTGAGTGCCCGCTCATAGTAGGTACTTAATAAATTCTTATTGGTTGATTAATTTGATCCTTACCTGTGAGGTAAGTGCTACAGATACTATCAACCTGTCCCTTCCCTTCTCCCCACCCCCCCATTTTATAGATGAGAAAACTGAAGCTAAGAGTAGTCAAGTGATTTGCTTATGGTCACACAACTAACTTCCTGAGTGTCAGAGGTGGGTAGGATTTGAACCTAGGTCTCTTGTTTCTAAATCACCTGAAACTTGAATCTAAATCACTTTTGAAACTTGAACCTCTGAAATAATACAGACACACTAAAAAAAGAATGGTGTGGCTAAATTTCCATCCTATTGCTTAGGATATAACCCAGTAGTGATCCACTAGTATCCACTTGGATTAACACCCAGGAGGTTTAGAAAGAACAGGTTCCTGTTAACCATGGACAGCTACCTTTTTCAATGGGCTATTTCTGAACTGTATCCTCAAACAGGCCATTTATAATGGCTCCCACTTTTCATGGTAGTACCTCAGAGATGCCTTCTTTTATTCGACAGTGAGGCCATCTGTTGAAATGTGAGCTGGCAGGCAGACCCCTTTCTTACTCTGAGTGGCAAAAGGAATCAGCGACTGATAATTGATGTCCACTAATGTAATGAGGTTCTACCCCATTTGTGGAAGATATATGTTAGAAGTTCTCTCAAAGAAATTGTTGTAGAGAAAAGAACCCCAGACTGAGGAGACTTTCAAGTTCAAGTCTCAACTCTGCCATTAACTTGATATGTGACATTGGGGCAAGTCACTTCTTGAGACCTCAGTTTTTCCATTTGCAGAATGAGAATCTTCAAATAGATGTTCACTTAGAGCCTTGTAAGATTTAGTCTATGATGTAATTGAAGTGAGAAAATGCCAGATATATTTGTGATAGGGGAGAAAATCCCTCCTTTAAGGCCTAAACTACAAGGTGTTTAGTAAAGATTTTAGTGCCTGCTGTATAAACAGACACTCCTTTAAACTAGAAAGTGTTAATAAGAGGCTAATACCTATTGCATGCGCGTGTGTGTGTGTGTGTGTGTGTGTGTGTGTGTGTGTGTGTGTGTGTG